AAAAAGAATAAAATACTTAGGAATAAATTTAATAAAGGAGGTGAGACTTACATACTGAAAACTATAAGACATTAATGCAAGAAATTGAAGACAGAAATAAATGGGAAGGTATTCCATGCTCATGGATTGGAAGAATTAATATTGTCAAAATGCCCATACTACCCAAAGCAATATAGATTCAGTGCAGTCCCTATCAAAATTCCAAAGGTGTTCTTCACAGAAGTAAAACAAACAATTCTAAAATTTGTAAGAAAAAACAAAAGACCCTGAATAGCCAAAACAGTCTTGAGAATGAAAACAAAGCTGGAAGCATCATGCTCCCTGATTTCAAGCTATATTACCAAGCTATAGTAATTAAAATAATATGGTATTGGCCTAAAAAGAGACATATAAATCAATGAAACAGAATAGAGAGCCCAGAAATAAACCCACACAAATACGGTCAACTACTTTATGACAAAGGAGCCAAGGATATGCAATGGGGAAGGGACAGTCTTTTCAACTAATGGTGATGGGAAAACCAGACAGTCACATGCAAAAGAATGAAACTGAACCATACACAAAAATTTACTCAAAATGGATTAAAGACTTGAACGTTAGACCTGAAACCATAAAATTCTTAGAAGAAAACATAGGCAGTAAGCTCCTTGACATAGATCTTGGTGATGATTTTTGAATCTGACACCAAATCCAAAGGCAGCATAAGCAAAAATAAGCAAGTGGGACTATAGCAAATTAAAAAGCTTCTGCACAACAAAGGAAACCAACAAAATGAAAAGCCAACCTACTGAATGGGAGAAAAAATTTCAGATCATATATATGATATATTATAATCATATATCTGTTAATATCCAAAATATATAAAGAGCTTATACAACTCAATAACAAAAAGAAATCTGATTAAAAATTGGGCAGAAGATCTGAATAGACATTTTTCCAAAGAAGACATACAAATGGCAAACAGACACATAAAAAGATGGTCTCCATCAAAACCACAGTGGAATATCACCCCATAATAGCTACTATCAAAAAGATAAGAAATAACACATGTTGGTGAGGATGTGGAAGAAAGGGAACTCTTGTGCTCTATTGATGGGAATGTAAATGGGTGCAACCACTGTGGAAGATAGTATGGAAGTTCCTCAAAAAATTAAAAATAGAACTACCATATGATCCAGCAATTCCATCTGGGTATTTATCCAAAGAGAATAAAAACACTAACTTTAAAAGATATGTGCACCCCCATGTTCATTGCAGCAGTATTTACAATAGCCAAGATACAGAAACAACCTAAGTGTCCATTGATGGATGAATGGATAAAGAAGATACGGTATATATACAATGGAATATTATTCAACCATAAAAAGGAATGAAATTTTGCCATATGTGACAATATGACTGGACCTTGAGAGCATTATTCTAAGTGAAATAAGTCAGAGAGAAAAATGCCATATGATCTCTCTTATATATGTGGAATGTTAAATACATTTTTTAAAAAGCCAAGCTCATAAAGAGATCAGACTGGTAGTTGCCTAAGGCAGGTGCTGGGTGTGGGAGAAATGGGTAAGTGTCTAAAGGAAAATGAAAAAGAAATGTAAATAAGTAAATAAATAACATTCAAATTAAATAGATAATTTTAATAAAACATTTATCAATATTGAACTTCAAGTAGGAATTTTGATTTAAAAAGAATTCATTTAGCACATTAAAAAGAAGTGTTCTCAACTATTACTGAAAGTACCTTTTTCTTAAGTGTTTTCTGGGACACACAGGTTACAGGACATAATAAAACTCTTCTTTCTTATTTTGTGGCCGTATATAAGAGTGGTGGAGATTCTGTGCCTGGGCTAATTAGAAGCACTGACCCTATATGGCACAATTTATTTCTCTGCTGCTTCAGTTTCCAGATTTCTGGGCTTCTCAAATATCTATGTGACCTCCTTTGTGAGAAATATTACCTAGAAGATGAGTTGTTCACAAATCAGGTAGATATTGAGGTTAATCTTTAGAACTAAATAGTCTGCTTTTCAAAAGTCAACTGAGGATAGCTTCTTTTCCTTGGCTATTTCCAGTTCATTCACTGCTCCTGAGGATAAAAGAAGAGTCAGGTTCTACCAGCAGAGGGTGAATTTTTGAGAAACCGTGTTTGTTAGTAATTGTCCCCAGCTTTTCTCTAGCACTATACTCAAAGAGCCCAGTAAAGTATTGATATTATTCATCCCATTTTAAAGGTGAGGAAATATCTTTTATTCATTTGAAATAATTGAAAATGTTTGTAGAAACAATTCATTCCCAATTTATGGCACTAATGAAATTATATTCCAGACAATATATGATTTTCTCTAGGCCTCATAGATAATGACACTGAGAATTAGAACCTGTTTTTATCTATTCCTAAGGTAGTATTTTTTTCTGCCACACAATGCTGTTACACATATATGCCTTCTTCATCACTTTTAAATAAAACAGTAGATTCTTGCAAAGATTCCATGATTATGACCTGATTGCATTTTAAGAATGCTGTATCCTTTGAAACATAGTCTTTTAGAGATTCCAAGAAAGCATTACTTTATATTTTAAAAATGTGATGTAAAAACAAAATTTCTGTGCTAATTAGCATTTTCCAGCTTCTTAAAATTTTAATAAGTTGAAAGTTAAAGGTTTTATAAAAACAAACACATCAAAATCATTTTCTGGTAAGTTAATGGAAAAACAGTTGTTCATAATTAGCATTTCAAAATGGATAGAGTTGAGTTGAAAATAGCACTTTTTTTTTTTTATCCTATTTTCAGACTTCCATTGTTTCTATTTTTAAAAGTGTTTGTGCATGTGTATATATATGTATATATGTGTATGTGTGTGTGTGTGTACTCGAGTTTCGCTCCTAAAATAAACCTTCTTTAAAATCAAGTGTACCTTTGCCTCACTTCAGAATACGGCGCAATTTCATTTACTATCGGCATTAAAAATAATTGTATCTTAAATGTGCAACTATTGGAGGAATCATTCTCTGGGCCTGAGATAAAGATCTTACAGTTAAATTAGAATGTCAGATGTAAAATTAAGTAGCTAAGAATGTTATTTGAATTGATGACAAAGGAGACTCCTGAGTAGTAACACATGGAATATACCTATCCAAAAACTGCAGCTCTTCTAGTCTTTTAATATTTTTACATAATGTATGTAAAATTTTATAATACAAAAACTGTCAAATTACTAACATCAGTTAAATTGAGTTCATTATAATAGTTGTAAATTGCTTTTAATTCTTATTATAAAATATTCCCAACATGTGCAGAGGTTCCCAGAGTAGTGTCATGAGTCCTCGGGTATCCATCATCCACCTCAACAGCTTTGATGCATGGCCATTCTCTTCATCCATATGCACCTTCCTTAGCTCACTCCTAATGTTATTTTGATGCATATTCCAGCATCATGTCATTTCATCCATAAATATTTCTGTGTGAATCTCTAAAAGAGAAAACTGTTAAATACAATTACTATGCCATTATCATATTCAAGTAATTAATAGTAATTCTTTAATAACATCAATAGGTAGCCAAGTTCAAACTTCTAATTATCTCATAAACATCATAATGTTTTCAATTTGCTTGTAATAAGTAGAACCCATATTCCCCAATGGGGCCATAATTTGCAGTTTTTCATGTCTTTTCAATCTGTTTTAACCAGTATTATTCTCTCTTTTTTCCTGTGTAATCAGTGTAGTAGAAGGCTGATCCTTTGTGCTGTAGGGTTTTCCACAGTCTGGATTTTAATGGATAGCATCTTTGAGGAGTAGCTTGACATGTTCCTCAGTTTTCTGAATTTCCTGTGAAATATTAATTGGGTATAGAGGTTTAATCAGAATCGGGTATGATTTCATTTTGGCAAGTCTGTTTTATAGTGGTGTAGTGTTCTTACATCAGGAGTTAACATTATTCTTGCTTGTTTCTCTTGTTTGATGTTAGTAGCCATTGATGCTCAATGCCTCTATTAACTTGTTATGGATTGATAATGAATGTTCCTATTCTATCATTACTTTTACATTTATTAGCATAATACTTCTAAGGGAAAAACTGCCCTTCATCTACTATTGGGTTAACAGTGAAACCATTTATAAGAAAGTCAAGATAAATGGTTGATTTTTGCCCTTTATTTGCTGGTTCTCAAAATAATGAATTTGCTTTCTAGCCTTTTACAATGTGGAGTGATGAGTTGTTGTTGTTATTATTATTAGCTCATAGAATTAGATATGTTTCAATCCACTGCAGTTACTGTTGCAATCAATGGTGAATTTTTCTTATTTTAATCATTAGGGCCCCTCAACCTTCTACTTAGCCTCCATATAATTCCTGTCCCAGATCTTCAATCAGCCATTTTTCCAAATGGATCTTTATTTCCTTTAGTGGGAAATAGTATTTTCAGACCAAAACTTGGGGGCTACGATGCTCATTGCTATTGGAGCTAGTTGTTTCAGTAGACAATGTTGGGGTTTTTTTGTTTGTTTGTTTTAAGATAAAGCTATGTCACCAGTTTATACTCATTGTTCCAGTTCAAAATCAGACTGCAGAGTTTTTACTTAATGATTTCTGTTTTACGTATATATCTCCTTTCACCTACATTAAGAATCCCAGTTCTCAACACCAAAGATAACAGAATTAGAATACCAGGTTATTCATTGTTATGCCATTTTACACACAAAGAGACTCAGAATAGCAATTCTATCCTCACTTATATGATTGCTGGGGGGATACTACCCCACTTACATGATTACTGAAATGAGTTTAAAATTTATTTGTACTTCCTTTTGTCCTTATGACCTATACCTTCAGAGATATTAGGTCAAATTATTCTCTTTTAGAATTACATGGAATAGCTCATGTCTTGTGGTTATAGTATCAACTGGTTTCATATTTAGGATCTTTTTTTTATTTTCAGAAATTGCTGTTTTTAAATTTAGTTTTTCTTTATGATTTAGTAAAAATTTCCCTGTTTTCAAGATTCAATCTATGAAACAATATATACCTAAAGAAGACTGGCCTCAGTCCTTGTCCTCTTCTGCCTGTATCCTGTTTTCATTATAGGTAAGTAGTGGAGTCCAGGAATTACGGTATAATCTTCCTTTTTTCAAAAAAAAAATAGGAAGTTAAGAAGTTTCTGTTGTACAGAAGTATTTCAAGAGTAGTATGAAGAACTCCATATAATTTTCACATGGTTTTTCATTTGTTGAAATTTTACTACATTAGGCAAATCATTTCTTCTCCCTCCCTCCCTCCTCTCTCTCTCTACACATAACAGTGTGTGTATATTTATGTGTATATTATACACACATGCATATGTACATACACACACATATACATACATTTATACACACACTATATAATACATAATAACACACATATATATACATGTATACATACAAATTTTTTTCTGAACCATTAAAGATTAAGTAGCATATGTGATGGCCCCATTACCCCTTATTACGTCAATGACTTTCTCCTAAAAACAAGGACATTCTTCTTTATAACCACAGTATGGCCACCAAAATCACAAAATTAACATTGAATTCCGTCATCTAGCCCATGGACTCTATAATGTTTTGCTGATTGTCTCAACAGTATGCTTCACAGGTACAGGATACAATCAAGGATTGCATATTACATTTGGTTGTCTCTTTAATCTCTCAGTTTGGAAAGTTTCCCAGTTTTCCCTTTTCTCTCATGACCTTGACATTTTTGAAGAATATGGCTACTGTGTAGACCGTCTCTCAGTGTGGGTTTATCTGATGTTTCCTCATGATTAGATTCAGGTTATGCTTTTTTTTTTTTTTTTTTTGCTTGAATACCACAGAACTCATGCTGTGTTCTCAGTGAATCAGGAGCTACATGATGCTTGTATGTCCCAATACTGGTGATCATTTTTTTTAACTTGGTTAAGTTTATTTTTTATTGAGGTGAAATTTACAATATAAAATTCACCATTTTAAAGTTTGCAATACAGTGATATTTAGTGCATTCATAGTATTTTTCAACCATCATTTCTATCTCATTCCAAAATATTTTCATCACCCTAAGAAGAAACCCCATACCTATTAAGCATTCAGTCCTCATTCTCACCTCCCCCAGTACCTGGCAACCACCAATTTGTTTTGGATTTACTCTTTCTAGATACTTTATATAAATGAAATCATATAATATCTAGCCTTTTGTGTCTGATTTATTTCACTTAACACAATGTTTTCAAAGTTCAACCATGTTGTAGCCAGCATATATCAATACTTCATTCCTTTTAATGGCTAAATAATATTCCATTGTGTATTTATAACATATTGTGTTTAATTATTCATCCATTGATAGACATTGGGTTGTTTCTACCTTTTGGCTATTGTAAATAATGCTGCCGAAAGCATCCAAGTATTTGAATACCTGCTTTCAATTCTTCTGGTTCAGTTGCAGTGTCATATCGTGTGTTTAACTTTTGAGGAAATATTTTCCCCGGTGGTTGTACCATTTTACATTCTCATCAGCAGTTTACAAGGGTTCCAATTTCTCTCCCCTCACCAACACTTGCTATCTGTTTTTAAATATTATTTTAGTGATTCTAGTGAGTGTGAGAAGTTTTGATTTGCATTTCCCTGATGATTAATGATGCTGAACATCTTTTTGTGTGCTTGTTGACTATTTGTTTATCTTTGGAGAAATGTCTATTCAAGTCATTTGACCATATTTTTTTTAAGAGAGGGAGGGAGAGAGAGAGAGAAAGCAAGAGAGAGGGAGTGGGAGAAAGAATCTCAAGCAGGCTCCATGCCCAGCTTGGAGCCCTATGAGGGTCTTAATCTCACAACCCTGAGATCATGACCTGAGCCGAAATCAAGAGTGGATCGCTTAACTGACTAAACCACCCCATTGACCATTTTTTATTTAGGTTGTCTTTTTGTTGAGTCTTTATATAGTGAAGATATATTTAATGTTCTGTCATTGTTTCTCCAGTAGTTTGTCTGCCTGGAAGTGATACTTAGGAAGAGCTGACTAGAATGTTTCCATAGTCCTCACATGTAGACACCAACTGTTAGATGTACTTTAATATTTCAAAATTATTTGCTTAATTTAAAATCACTAGTTCCTATTTTATTTTCTTTGATTGTCTTCTGCCATAGAATTGTGTTGCTTCAAGGGATACCTGAATGGCTCAGTTGTTTAAGTGTCTAACTGTTGATTTTGGCTCTGGTCATGATCTTAAGGTTGTGAGATCAGGCACAGTGTGAGGCTTGGCACTGGGTGTGGAGCATGCTTAAGATTCTCTTTCTCCCTCTGCCCCTCCCCTCCTTCTCTCTCTCTCAAAAAAAGTGTTGTCTAAACTTTGATTTCAATCTGACTTTTTTGTCTTTCACAAGTGCCTTGGAGTTTTAACCTAGATTCCCAAAGTGTTTTTTTTTTTCTTTTTCACTTTAAATTTGACTAGAATATGTGTTCTTATTGATCAATTTGGAAACTTTGCCCAATATACAATATATTATTCGTGTATACATATATTTAAATCTTTTTTTCCATTTTAGTTAAGTTTTTTTATTCATTGTGTCCCATTGTTCTGGCTTTCTTCTTTGAGGACTCCTATAATATGTTGGATTCTTCTTTTGTGTTATATATTTAAGACTTCCTCTCAAATCCTTTGTATCACTTTATTTATTTACTTATTTATGGGGGGGGGGCAGAGGGAGAAAGAGAGAGAGAATCATAAGCAGGCTCCACCCTCAGCAGTGTGGAGCCTGATGTGGAGCTTGATCTCATGATGTGAGCCAAAATCAAGAGTCCAACACTTAACCGACTGAGCCACCCAGGTGTTACAGGACTTTTTCTCCATCGGTGCCCAGGGTTCTTGGTCACGCCACTTCGAAAAGTGAAGAGGTAGACCAGAGTGGTGGGCAGCAAGCAAGGTTTATTGAACGATAGCAAAGTGGTAGTACAAGGCTCCCGAGGAGGGAGGGGACCTGAGAGCGCTGCCACTGGAGTTTCTAAGCCTAGGGGTTTTTCTGGGCTTGCTAGTGGGCTGTTTTAATCTGATTAACCCTCCCTGGGTCTGTCATCCAATCAGGTTTTTGTCACCTATCTATCACATGGGAAAGAGTGGAGGGCTCCTTCCTGGGCAGTGTAAAATCCTTTTAAGGGTGGTTTCCTCTTGGGGTGGGACCCCTTGGTCTGCCTGCCTGCCTTCCAACTACCCTTCATCACAGGTATACCTTCTCTTTTCTTTTTACTTTCTTTTTTGTGGGGTTCTCTTTCCAAGAGAGTGTCCTTTTATTTTTTGTACCTTAAAAATGCTTCCTATTTTTATTTTTCACTTCTTTATAGCATTACTCATTGTGTTTGCATTTTTTTCTGGTTTATTTTTCCTTTCTGAAATTATTTCATTTATGTTTAAATTTCCTGAGTTCTATCACCTAATCTCTTGAGCTTTTCCTAATTCTTAATGATGTTGTCTTTTCATATCTTCAATTATTTTCTTGATTTCTTTTGGCTCATTTTGAAAAATTAGGCTAGAGTTTTAATCTAATTTGTTGGCAAGCTTTTTTTGGCATACTTTCCTTGCTTTAAAGGGTGCTAATTCTTTCCTCTTTTTTTTTTTTATTATTACCACTTTACAAATGAGACTCAAACACAGTTCCTTTCCCATTTTTAATTTTTGTCATGAGGTTAGGTTTGCTGAAATTTTGAACAAAAGTAGTGACTTAAATATCTTTTCTAGCTTCATAGCTCTAAAACTCTTTGTTCTGTGGTTTTCCTGAAGAAACGAATAGTTTTATACTTTCAGGTTTATCCTGGCCCTGTCTTCTCCCCTAAATTTTTCTGAACTTTTTCTTCAGTCACTATTATTCCCATTTACCTCAATTTGTTTCTATTCCCAGAATTTATCTTTAGTGGGAGACTTCGGTGTGTAGTTTATGGAAATTCTTAGGGCCCGAATTGCTCTGACCCTTTTGGACCTTCACATAAACCTCTTGCTCACTCTAATGAGTTGGGATAGAAAGTGCCCTCTTGGTTACTAGGTTACTATGGCTGTCACTGAAAACCTCTTGACTATTTTGGTGTGTTAAATGGGCTTTTGATTTTCTTTTCTCCATCACTGATGCTGATACCATGACTATCTCTGGCTGTCAGTGGTTTATCATTTAAATGCATTATGGAATTCTTGGAGGTATTTTGTGTATTAGTATTTTATTCTTTGTAACAAATTCTTGCTGCATAAAACAGTTGACTTTTTTTTTTTTTAAAGATTTACTTATTTTAGAGAGAGAGAGTGCTCATGAGCCAGGAGAAGGGCAGAGGGCATGGGAGAATCTCAAGCAGACTCCCTGCTGAGTGTGGAGCCCACCTGGGGCTCCATCTCAGGACCCTGAGATCCTGACCTGAGCTGAAATCAAGAGTCAGATCCTTAACCAACTGAGTCACCCGGGCGCCGCCCCCCCCTCCCGCCCCCGACTTGTTAAAACTACAGCCATTTATTACCTCACAGTTTTTGCGTGTCAAAAATTCCACAGATCTCCTGAGCTGTGTTCTCTGCTTAGGGTATCACAAGGCTGAAATTAAGGTGTGGGCTATGTTACCAGTGGAAGAGTCTGCTTTGTGTGAATGGAGGTCTCCGGTCTTTGGATTCCCCAAGGGAAGATTACATGGGGATCCATGCTGGAATGAAGACAGCCAGAAGGAAAGTAGCAAGCACAGGGCAGTTTATGAAAGCAAAAGCGCACTCTCAAGGTGGGAGAGCGGGGCAGGTTCAGTGAGGTGGAACCAGCCCTAGGTTGTTTTGGGATTTGATAGTTGTTGAGTCTCTCTGGGCTGGGAGGAGCTTGATGCATGGTGGGGTGAAGGCTGCATCCAGTCTTTTGGGGAACTCCTCCCACAGGTTGGGAGGGGGAGTTTTTGACCCTACAAAGTTTGTACCAGAATGCTCATGGCAATCTTTCTCCATCTGGTGGGGCCGTTCCTGCCATGCAAGTGCATTATAATGAGCCTAGGGGTTACCTTGGGGCCCAGGTGAAAGAGGAGAGCACTTAATCTGCATGGTGGCTCTTGATTTGCCCTAAGGT